TTTTCTGCCAATATCTCTGGATTATTTTCTGCATTGTTTGCTAATACACTATATTTTCCTTCAACCCGTATTTCGGTGATGATCATTTTTGTTTTGATTTGAAAGAAGAATCTTACTACCATACTAAACACTTAATGTATTACTTATTGTATTTAGTGTTATTTGATTTAACCTATTGTACAAATCTTTCAAGATTTCCTGGGAAGGTAATTTCACCTTCTACACTCACTATTCCTCTTACCTGCTTGTCATACACAGATTTAATAAATGTGTTTTTTCAAATACTTTTTGAAGTCATTATGTTATCTTCTCATAGTTATAGTAAATACTCAAGACGACCAGTTTACAAAAATAAAAAGCTTATTCTGTCTCCTAATTTTGGAGGTTTCCATTTCAGATCACGATAGAGTGGCCCATGTTGCCTTTGGGCTGTGGCAAGGCGCCTACCATGGCTGGAGTATGTAGCAGAACAAAATTGCTCACCTTATGATCAAGAGGAGAGGAAAGGATTGAGATTCTACAGTCACCTTCCAAGGGATGCCTTAGTGACTTGAAGATGTCCCACTGGGTCCCACCTCTGAAATGTTCTACAATCTGCCAGTAGTGCCATTCTTGGAACTAAAGGGATATTTGAGGAATACTTAAGATCCAAACTATAACAATCATCTAAACCTATTTTTGTCCTTTACTCTCAGAACTCTGGGAGGCTGAGGCAGGGTGATCATAAGTTTGAGCCTATCCTGGGTAACACAGTGACTTAGCAAAACCCTTTGTCAAAGTGAAAAAATGAGAAGGTCTTCTGTGGATGTAGCACAGTACAAAGTTCCTGGGTTCAATCCCCAGTACTACAAAAATGTATCTGGAAGAAGGCCAAAGATCAGTAAGAAGGTCTAGAAGGGCAGACACCGTGCTATTGATTGCTCCTTTTGCTTGTTATTGTGCCTGGTTCAGACAGAGTATGTTTAATGGATTCTCTTAGGACAAGGTGAGTATGGTCTTCAGTGTGACAGTGAGAACATCCTTCCAAATTGGCACAAATTTACTATGCATCTATTTGAATAATGCACAGATTCATGGAACTGTACTCACGTTTACTCAAAGTTATCATGTTGACCATAAAGGTATCGAGGAAGACATTTGTTTTGTGGTTGCCCAGGTCTACTACACCTAAGACTGTTTTAGAATCCTCTAGTCTTTTGGCAGAAATGGAAATGAAGCAGGCAGAGATGCTTGATTCATAGACAGCCTGGCTCATACTGACACCTGCAGATTGTCTAGTTAATGGTTTTAAGTACTTTCAATCTAGTCCTTTAAAGATGCATTGAGGGTCGTGACGTATCTTCTGCCCAATTTTAAAAATTAAAATGACTTTTGTTTGTCTGGTATATTTCTTCAAAGATCATTGTTCTTTCAGTACTGCTCACTGTCATTTATATAAATGTAACCTCATTGTAAGAAGCTGTGGGCTCTCTTAAAATTACTTTGCACAGAATTGATGTAATTACTTTTTCTGCTTTCTTAGTCTGAAATCATTTAGCTTCCCTGAGAAGAAAGAAAGAAAAAAAGGGAGACAAAGATTTATTTTTGGCAGGTATTCACAAATTTTAATTAGCTCCCGATCTAATCTTAAGGATATAACATTTTATATTACTCATAAGAAGGCTTTGTAAACAGAGGCTGTTGAGATACTAGCTTTCATGCATCTCTGTATATAGATACGTGACCTTTTTATCTTCCTTGTTTATTGGCCACTTTCTCCTGACTTGTATGTACTTCAGTCATTACTGAGCTTGTGAAAAAGCAGACTGTGCAGCTATATTGCATTTTCTAGAAACTTTCTCTCTTCTTTGTGGAGAAATTACAATCAGAATTTAATTTTAATCTCTTGAGCTGCCATTGAATTATATTCTCCTTTGTAACTTAATCTCAGACCTTCTAAATGTAGACAATACTTAGCTTTTCTTTCCCAGATGACCATCTAGGTACACTTTTCTCTTAGGGCAACATTATTTTCATTTCACCAAAAAAGCCCTCCTTGTTTGTAAGATTTAGGCTCAGACTTGAAATTCCTATGAGTATCACATCTGCTTCTTGGGAGACAAAATTGTTAGTGTTTGAAACCAAAAATCAGTCAAGAGTTAATTTAGCTGAATGAGATCCTTAGCAAATGTCTGAATATTTGCAGTCTTATCATTACTCTTTCTTACTACATTGCACCAAATCTGTCCAATTGTCCAGTACAAGTGTATTTTCCCATCCTCTTTTCTAATCTCTATAGAGATTATAATCTATAATCTACATTCTGTGTTTATGTGAAACACCTGAGACTGTGAGACTATGAGAATCACATGACCCATGTTTCAATTATAATTTCAGATGAAATGTTTTGGCATGACACTTTCAGTGTCATTCTTCTTTCTACATGGATTAGACAGGGATTGTTTGCTTGTGAGAAACAAGAATCTATGTGGGTAACTTAAACTAAGAAGAAGTCATTTAATGAGATATAGAGGGACATGTTGTAGAACACGTGTCCAAAGAGAATAGCTGGGCTCTGTGAACTAACATCTGGATTGCTGAGAATCAATAGCACTCTCTCTGTGCTTCTTGAAGTGTGTCTGCACAATTCTCCAGGTTCTACAGCCTAGGACTTTTACAGTTTAGCATGAACATGGAAGAAAATATGACTGCAGTGCCAATACACATGAAGTTCCAGATAACGTGACCAAGCCCTAAACCTCAGTCTTGGTACCCATGTTTTAAGTTCTCCCCCAAATCTGATTGCCTTTGCTTGGCCTGTAGCTTATTGTCTTTGGTGTCACAATCCCACTCTGGGTCCAGTCACGTGGAGCCTCAGAGGAAGGGTATGTTGATACCAATGGACAGTGAATATAGCTTTTCTAGAGAGGCATGAGGGTACAGCAGAAATCATTTGGCATCTCTACCATCCTAAATAGTGCCATGGGTCTATTTCTGTTTTTAATTTCATTCCCTTACAAACACATTAAGTAGCTGTTAGCCAAACATGACCTTACACTGCTTGGTTCCAGTATATTCTCATCTTAAACATGAGTCTTTCATTCAGTATTATAAGCCTTTGTTTAGAATTTAATTTTTATTCATTCACTTATTCCCAAATCTTTCTCTTTTACCCATAGCAATCAATAAAATCATCTGCTATACTCTGAAGTGTTTTAGCGTCCTTTCAATGATGTGGTTCTCTGAAGAGTCTTCACTGGCTCCTTATAGGAATTTGCACAACTGGGTAACAGTCCTGAGCATACACTTCAGAAAGAAAGTGACATTATTCTCTTTATTTTATTGTGGCTCTGCAGAGAATACCTATCTCCAAGATGTAGTCTTTCTTCCCAGGGTCAGTATTCAGTGTCCTTGAACCAAGAGGACTGTTCAGTTCCTCTCTAAAGGAGGGTCTAAGGGCTTGCCCTCTCCTTTCAGCAGGGACCAAGTCCTACTTGTACTGGTCCAGTTGGGCCAGTATCTTCCTTTTCTTCTCTCTACACTCTATATTCTACAGAGTTTGGTTTTGATTGTCTTCTTTGTCTTCACATTCTTTGAACAGGCTTGTGATACAGTCACTTTTTTAGGAGATCTATGCTTACTTTCGGGGGGAGGACTCTCCAATCTATTGTGTATTTTTAGCTCAACTGAATTCCTTCACTTTTACTTGTCATTCATTCCTCTCCATACTGTTGAATTAAGTTTTGGGTTACTTCACCTTAAATGTCAGAATCTTGTACTTCTTGATTTTTATCTAACAATCTTGTTAGATTATTTGTAATTAGATACTATTTGAGATTATTCTAATTATTTCTAATTAGATATTTCTAAATAGATACTCTAGGAAGGCAAAATGTCTTTAGGTCTTTTCAATTTTCAAGTGTGTAGGTTAGCTAAATAGCATTCAACATACCCAGTGCTTATACTTAGTTCTGACAGAAAGACAACTTTTTCTCTGCTTGTAATTGAATCATTAGGTCCAGTGAATTTTGTTGGTATTGATATCTCAGGATAGATATTGTCCCATTCTGCCTCATTTCCTTTTATTGTCTCTTGGAATGGAAGTTAAAAGTTTAGCTTTAGAAGTCAAATAGACCTCTATAATACTAAGCAAATTATTGAAGTTCTCTAAGCCTCAGAAGACAAATATGGGCTGAATGTTTGCTATCATAGTAAATGCTCAATAAATACTCCCCCTAAATTATCGATGTGTTTACTTTTGCTAGATTATAAGCTTCTTGAAATTGGGAACTATATCTTAACTTTATTAAGTAATTAATTCTTGTAAGTTTTTCATTAATATAATAGCTACACACAGTGATAAGAACTCCAGCATAAGAAACCTTAAAACTAAGATTGTGAGATTTGTTTTGGTTTCTTTATGTTTACATTTCTTCATTTCATTCAAATTGAAAGGTTACAATTATACTTTTTTCTCTTAATCTGACTATAATTTTTTTTGGCAAATGTTACTCATTTCTAAAATTTGCTTTTGTCTCTTTATGCAGAATGGGTGAAGTTCAAATTCAAATTTTACCAGTACTTTTAATGTTAGCCCTGTATCAGGTTGTGTGGCAGTTATTGACCATACCTAGATATTTACTGTTCATAGATTTAAAAACTCGGGCTCAGAAAATTCAAGAGAGTGACTCAATACAATGCAATTGATCAGTGGCATCTGCAAGAATGACAAAACCTAACTATAAACCAGTGAGAAAGTATTGTAAGAATAATATGACCAAATAGGATGAATGTAAAAGAGAGTGCTGGTTTTTGCTTTACATAAGAATGAGGAATATCTTTGTGAAAACATGAAAATTAACCTATACAATGGACAGTCTATGAACAACTGGAGTTGACTAGTCTGAAAAAGACAGTTCTCCTCTTACTACCTCTGTTCTCATTTTAGTTATGTATCAGTTTGTGTTTATAATACATAACTTCAAAGCAGAGGAATTTTCATTAATTAGAACATAAAATGGTAAGTATGGAAAAGTTGTTTTATTTAGTGATATGTTGAATTTATGGAGAAGGTTTTAATATATAAAGAATGTGTCTAGTGATATTAGATCTATTATCAACGTTTCTGTGGTAGTGCATGTATCCTTTCACCAAGTTTAGTTACAGTCCTCATGATACAAAACTAATTTTTGAAATGCTTGGTAAATATTCTGATTTTGGTTACAAATAAATCCCCCACTTCTGAAGGCTTGGTGTGGGCTCCGATTTAGGTCTCCAATGCATGTCCAGTGATCTTTAGTGCCCTTTTGGGAAATACACCATTTTGCATGATCTTGGTAAGAACTGAAGTAAGATTGGTGAGATATCTTAATGGCTTTGATATTGTAGATGTGGTAAGGAAGGGAGCAGTTTGAAGGAAGCTCTTGTCTCTTTCGTTGCCAGGTTTCTGTTAGCAAGTGAGTTTTCAACTGTTGAGCCATCCAGGCTGCGAAAATATCTAGGGTGCAGAAGGAAAGAGAGAGAAAGAGTGAGGTTTGTATTTATACCCAGATAAGTCCCTGAAAATATTCTTAGGAGTGGAAATCATCATTCACTCCTGATAGGTGGATGTCACAAGCACAACAATAATATAATGGAGATAGTAGATTATTTCTATCCTGTTAATTTTGCATCTCTAGTGTCTGATAGGGCTTTACCAGTAGTAGGCATTCAGGAAATTGTATGTAAGAAAGAAGACAAGAAATAACTACAGCAGACAGCAAGATCATCAAAAGCCATGGCGATGGGGAGAGCTGGTGTTTGTAGACAGAAGTAAGTCTACAGTGAAGGAGCACCAAGCAAGTGAAGGCATCCATGAGGTTTTTAATGTGGAGAAACAGGTAATTGAGAATCGAGAGAGGGTTTTTAGGCATATTTGTATGCTATGAGGAAGGAACATGCAGAAAGGGAAACTCAAACGAAAACACGCAGAGGCTCAAGTGGACAAATCAAAATGGTTTGAAGTTAGTGTGGGCTCCAAAAAACAGAGGGTGCATTACTTCTGTTGGAATGGAAGAACAGCCCAAAAAGAAGAGTGAAGACAGATGACAATGCTGGAAAGGTGGGGTGCAATCTCATGGTGGGATTTATTGATCTTTGTTCTCTCTCTGTCAATGGGTTACAGTGTTGTATAAAGGAGTTGAGAAGGCTTAAAATGATTGCTTGAGGGATGGCAGAAGTGGCACCTATAGCCCCCCATCTCCTCCAGAAGCCAAAGACTGAGTGGTCCCTCCTTGGATGCTTGTGAGATACTCTATGGTTGGATTAGCAAACCTGTTACTCAAGTGGAGCAGCAAATGTTTGAACTGATCCCTGAGTTTTTCTTTTCCCTTTGGTTCCTCTTTCCTCCCTTCTTTTCTACATCTTGCCCCCTAATCATCTTCTAAGTAATTCAGAATGAGTTCAACAGCCATGGTATATAGCATACTGTTTTATGATGGTTTTTCATACCGTCATGAAATGAATCAGATTTTGCAAAATGGAGAAAGCTTTGTCCCTGGGCTGACTGGAGGGTGGTGAGGTGCCGGACAGGGATCTTAGCCGAGTGGGACCCGGCGCACAGCTGGGGCAGGTGGAAGAGCTCTTGGTGAAACGTAGCAGGGATGGAACAACTATAGATGTTTGGGTTGCAGACCAAGAGCTGAGAATCTAAACCAAAAAACAGTGAAGTTGAGAATTTAGAAACAAATGGAAATACTTCTTGATATAGATCTTATAGATAAAACAAAATGAGATACTCTCAAATATAAACATTTAAAAAAAACAGCAATGCCCTTCAAATAGCTTTTAGTTAAACTATTTGACAGCAGTATATTTAACTGACACCTGTTGAATAATGCCTATGTTCCATGCTTTGTCCTGTGAGTTTTACACAGTTTTTACCCCTTTAATTTCATAGCCATCTTCTTAGGTAAGTTCTGTTTTATCATTAACCTCATCTATAGATGAATTAACTAAGGCTTTATGCCATATGCTCATGGTTATAAAGCTTAGAACTGATGGAGTTAATATTCAAACTCATAATCTGGTCCTGGAGGCCACATGTTTCCTTTTTTATTCTATATGTACATATATAAAAGTAAAGAACTTCTTATACTGATCATCCAGTTTCAAAAATAATCAACTCACAGCATGCACACCTTATCTCTGTGTTGTTAGCTCTCCAATTATTACATGAACTCAGTAGGGCTCGACTCAGGTGAGAAATCTGTGATCCTTGCCATAAGATGGAAATTGTATGAGAAACATTTTCTAGGCCTTCTATATCTGGAGGAAAGTCAGTTTTTACCACTGTTAGCAATTTCCGCAGTACAAAAGGGTTGGTAAAGCAATATTCTTGCTTTTCCTCCTCCCACAACATAGTTTCCCAAATATAAGTATTTTTGGCTATTTGAGCTTGAAATCTTAAAAGAAATGTATCTGGCTCAGAAGTGTCATGTTGGCAGCAGATAGGCAACATTTGGTCTACAGAAATTTTAAAAAAAGATTGAACCCATATTTAAAAAAATCAGAATTTCTCTCTCTCTCTCTCTCTCTCTCTCTCTCTCTCTCTCTCACACACACACACACACACACACACACACACACACATCATTTCTGGTTCCTCATGAAAAATATGGAAATCTGTAATCAGTAGGGCTGTATTTCTGTCCAGCCATAATATACTATACTGAGGCCTTTAGAGGCATCCAAGGGAAAGTCCATATCCTAGTTCGTCATTGTCTCCAGTGCCTATATAATATTTGTTTCACCCATTTTTGTCACTGGCTTATTTCTTGAATTCTTTTTTTTTTTTTTTTTTGTTTTGTTTTGTCTTTTTCCTTTTTTATCGGTACAGGGGATCAAACTCACAACTGCATGCTTGCAAGGCAGGCACTTATGCTGCTGAGCTAAATCCCCAGCCCCATTTCTTGAATACTTTTGAAACTACTGTTTCTGCCTGATCAATTTCTATAAGGTCACAGTGGAACAGGAACCCAGGACCAGTAAGTGAACTGCCCAGTGCCTCACCAAGGCAGAGCCAGTGTTAGAATCTAGGTACCAAAGGATCTATGAATAAAGTAATACATGAAATGCCACATTTATTAATACATTTCCCAACTCCTTCCCAGCACTGCTATGTGCTTTTCACACACTCTTGTTACCTATTGTTTCATACTGGTTATATCTGAAAGTTATACAGATGCCACTTTGTCCATTCCGTCTCCCTGTGGATGGATAATCGTAGCCTTCTTCAGGAATTGGAGGAAATCGGGGAATAGAATGAATCAGCCAAAATCCCTGGATTCTGTTCCACAGTAGTAAACCTACCAAAGATATATTTAGCACAGGTAAAGTAGAAAAGCAAAGCTCCTTTAAAAACTGAGTTCAAAGCTGTAACAGTTAAGCCAGTTTATGCTTTAGTGTCATTATTTAGACTAATTATCACGAAGATAAAACTCCATTTTTTAAAACTTTCAAAATCAGTCAGGCATACATCACAATGCCCCATTACTGACAATAAGCCACCACAAAAGGGGAGCCAAGGCAGCCATTCTGTGGACAGTTAAGAGGAATTTTATGTTGAAGCTACAAGGAAGATTTGTTTTTGCAGAGTGCAAATTTGCCACATTGGAATTTGACCTTGTTAAATGATACAGTCACCTGGCACCCTTAAGACAGTGTCTTCATTACTAAATAACCAAGCTATTTTCAAAAGCCTGATTTAAAAAAAACAGTTAAAATAGAGCATATCAAGTGAATAAATGTAGTACTTTGTTTTAAGAAACTGATGCTCATTTATTAAAAAGGGACACTAAGTTCTCCAGGTTGAATAAAGAAGGCAAAAAAAAAAAAAAAAAAAAAAGGAAGCCATGCTAAAGCATCCTCGTTAATTAGGTTTAGAAATATCTCTTGCACTAACAACATGAAAGGCAGAATGGAAAAGAAGGAAAAGATTTTCATCATCTTGTGACACGGCAAAAAGGAAATTATCCAACAGGCATTTCTGACTCTGTAACTATATCAAGATAATAGGTCTGGTGTGGTAACTAGACTTTCCTGTTTGCCTATGAACACGCAAACATAAAATTCACTCATGTTTGCCTTCTTGTTAGAGTAGAAGCCAAACGTTTGCTGGTTATTTTTCCCCCCAAAGCTCTTTTGGTAGAGATAGAATCAATTCCCATGTCAGAATGGAAATTGTTGAATGTTCTCTTGCCTAATAGAATTGGATGATCTCCAAGTTCTCCCCTCTGCCCAGGTGAATGAACTGTTCTGTTAAAATCCCAACTTCCTGGTATGAATGCATCAGACGTTAGGGTATCTATTGGCCAGGAGGACTCCCCTAACTTGACATTAAGCCCTATTTTATTTTTCTTAAAACTTCTCAGCAATAATAGAACAGAGTAGGAGTGGTGGACTATGGTTGTTGGAGAAGTTGGAGATTGTGGTACATTACAGAAATTGTTGGATTCTGTGTACATAGGACCATCAGGAGGGCGATACAATGAAATCAAAGTTTTCAATGCTCCTGATGTTCAACAGCTGTTACAAATTATCTTCTTAGTCAAAGGCTGTAAACTAGCAGCCCAGGGGCCAAATGCAGCTTGCAGATATATTATTTTTCAGAACTTTGAATTTATTTTGAAGATTTAAACACTTTGGAAATTTTCTATAAATACTACATTTTAGCATCTTCTGAAAAATTGTATCTCTATAAGTCAAAGGGCAGATTCACTGTCCCTTTTTGACCTCATATGGGCCCTCAGGTTAACCTGCCAGTTTATCCCATTTCACTTGCTGACATTACCTGTCTGTCTCTCAAGGCATTTCAACTTGGAATCTTCTAAAGAACATTTACTGCTATAAAACTTATTCACGATGTATTTATTAAGTTGAACAGTAGTCATACGTGTCATATAAAATGTTTTAAAATAAGTATTTTTTAAAGTAGAAAGGATTAAGTGTGCTTATCAGATATTAAAAATAGATTTGTTTACCTAAACTTTGAGCTTTTCTATATATATATGCATAATTTATAGACAGAAAAGTGACAAAAATTGCTATAACAAAATTACATGTAGCCAAATCTATAACACAAATTACTATCATGTGAACAAATATTTTAAAACACTGTTCAGAAATGTTTATTTGAAATAGAACTTCACTTAATGAAGAGTGAATTTTACTTGATGTGTTTTTTAACTCAGTAAATCTAACTAAAGAGTGTATATATGCATATTTTGCATATATACATATGCGTATATATGTAATATAGACTTGCCGGTGTATTGCACAGTTACCTACATATATATGTATGTCTATATATATGTATAAATAGAAATTCACTGGCATTTCCTATAGTCAAAACCTGGATTTTTGCTCTAAAAAAAAACATGTAAAAATCAAGAAATAAAGTAGGATTTTTGAACAGGAGATTACCAAATCAAATTATATAACTTTTATAAACTGATATGGAAATCAGATATTGCAATAAGTCAAAACACACACACTAAAAAAGCTATTTTTTTAGTGTGGAATACAAGAATACTCAATATGAAAGTTTTAAGAAATGGTTGATTTCCAACAGGAGAGTGTCATTATACCTTTGGTGTGTCCAAAGTTTCTGCTGTAACCCGCAGATTTAGGAACTCCATCATTGTATAGTACATAGGCTGTGTTGTTATCCTGTGGGAATATATTAGGGTTAAAACTGTACAGATCTCCTACTTAAAATGCTCACAATGTTTCTACCAGCTCTCCAGGGTTCTAGTGTATAGCTTTCACTACTACACAGGAAGGCACCCATTCTCCTAATAGGAAGCTTCCTTATCAATATGAATCCCATTCCATGCAAGACCAAGTTGGGCTGGGGGGGGAAAACCCTTTTCAACCTTGTATGGTTTTGACTCACATGACAGGAACTCTGTGCATTGTGACCTGTGTGTGAGGACGATATTACTATTCTCTTGTTTCTTTTGGAACAAGGTTTTTTGATTAAGCAACCAGTCTATTACAAAAGAGTGTAGAATTATTTGTTCAGAAAATGGAATAGGAACAACCAGCCAACGATTGCATTTGGGCTTTTTCCATTGACATTACAGGCACGGTACAGAATGGGTTCTGTATGCGGTTTTTCTCCCCCACCCTGTACTCCACTGCCTGGCCCTGGCTTTGAATTTAATCGGTTTGTTTGTTTGTTTTTTCTTATCAGTACCGAGGATCGAACTCAGAACCGCCTGCTTGCAAGGCAGGTGCTTATGCCGCTGAACTAAATCCCCAGCCCCTTTGAATTTAATCGGGACTCCTCATTATCTGTTCCTGTTCTCCCTGATATGGGAGGGCTTTTGCTTCAATCCATTTCTCAGTGTCAGTTTGCCTTTTTAACTTGATATTTTCTGCTTAGAGAGAGTGGGGAAATTTACTGTGTGATACTGAATTTCCTCTGGTAAGGCAAAAATATCAGTCAGTTCTCCAAACAGCTAAATATGTGAGTCAAAATAAGGTTTATTAATTTGATAGTATCACATTTTGGAAAAATGTTTATGTTTGTTCTAGATGGTTCCGTTTCATTTGTGTCATAATGCAGTGACTTTTATTAAAGCCAGTAACATTGATATTAACAAAAAAATCTCAGGGACATAATGAAAGCAGGAAAAATAGCCTATTTTCTTTAAAAAAAATCCTTTCTTTTTTTTCAGAAAAAGTTCAATTATGATTCTTTTGCAGTTAATTATTTGACATTATCTAAAGGCACTTTAAAAATGCACTACCTAGTCTGTGTAGCATTCTTGGCTACTGTGGTAAGGCACAATCAGGAAAGTTTAGCTGCTTTCTTACCCTCATTTTCCACACAAAGTGGTATTTTTACATCCTTCCCCGGAGCACTCTGACAGTTACTTTGTGAGCTGACACTGAATGTGGTAATGAGGTTATTTGTGTGCTTTTGGGGTACAATGTGGAGGGACTTTGAAAAGATTTGATGAGAATCTTTGTTCTTATAATACATGAATTAAAAAAAAATTGAACCTGGAGTGTAACAGCCAAGTTTTAATGAGTTGTGTTAGTGGAAAGAGAGATTATTGGTAAAGGAAAATGATCATGGACTTAAAGCAGGTAGACACAGGTGTGTTTCTTTGGATTGCTTTATTCTTTTAATATGTATGTCAGATATTCTTTTGATGATTGGATGTTGGAAAAAGATGTACACATCTCTAACTTTAGTCTAGCAGGGAATGTATCAGGAAAGCATAAGCAACTCCAATATAGTTTGATCAGTGTTATTATGGTGTGTAGAGGGTTCTTATTTGGAAAGACAAAAGAAGAGAAATAATGCCAAGGTAACCCAGCTACTCACCTTGGTTATAAGATCAATTCCAGGCTGGGGACTGGGAAAGTTATGTTCTCATGGACATTTTTGAAACAGAGTTCCAGCTTCCAAAGAACATTTAATCTCACCTAGATATCACACATGAAAACCAGCCCCTTTCTGTCATTTTCTTCCCTAAACCAATTACTCAAGGCATTGTGTGAACAGATTTTATGGAAGGTAAGACACACTGAGTGACTTTTGCATCACAATGTCCCTGCCTGAATCTCTGAATTTCCCTCTGTTCTTCACAGTTTTTAATTTTCGGCTTTTATTTTCCCAACTTTTTTTTTTTTTTTTTGGAAAGTAGTATAGCTCTTCCTGTCTCCTAAACTTTGGGTATACCTTTGCACCTCCTAAGATAATTACTAGATTCTGCCAAACCATGAACAATGTATATCAACTAAGGTGAATGACACAGCTTTCACAATGTTACTATTTTCCCTTTCCTGTTCAGGCAGTTCTGTAGTGGGGAAAGAACATTGTAGGCATTTATTTTCTCACTAATGGCTTCTGCTTCTGCTGTGAATTCCTAGACTTAGAAAACAGAAGCAGTTTCAAGCAGTTTTCATTTCACATGATTGTCTGCGTATTCAAAGCCGGGTTGCTGTTTTTTAAAATTTTTTAAAGCACCTCAAACAGTACTTTGGCATATGCATGTCTTCAAACAGCTTACAAAGCCATTTTAACTTTATAATTTCACTCTGAAGCATGCTTTTAATGAGTACTGCTACACAGTGACAACTCCCTGCTCATTTTGAGTAAATATTCAGATACGCATACACAGTAGTGCTAGAGGCTAAAGCAGTCCTGTAATGAGCATTAAATTATTTGACATATGTAAAAGCCCAGTACTTTATAAGAACAGCATCATTCTATACATTGGCTTCCCTGTAAGTTATTGTTAGGAAATACATAGATGAGTGTAACTGGATGTTAATTATTGCTTGATTTTGCTCATTACCCCATGTTGGAAAGCAGTCACCGTACAACAGATGGAGCCTTAAATGTTGGGAGGCTGCCCACACTGAGCCAGCAGGCCTGCTCAACCTTTGTCTCTGGCTGGTTAGCTCACTGCCTGATGAGTCTGGATAGCCAGGTTAATCTCCATTCAGGCAAGCTAGTTCCAGGTTCTTTAAACTAGAGCCTTAGGTACCAATGTACCATTCTGAAAATGACTAAGGGAAGATTTACTGGAACTCTACTTGGATGGCCACCACTCAGGAACACCATGACATAAATAATCCTTGACTCGGGACATCTTGACTTCAGGTCTATATTGCCTTTTAGCAAGAGAGGGCGTTTTTCCTTTTTTTCTAGATGACAGGTGAACTAGCAAATACTAAGTGAATTGGTATAGGTTTTGGCAGCTGAAGTCTTCAACGTGCAAGTAATTTGTACCTTGTCCAGTGACGTCACTGGGAGTTGCCAAATGAACCAATAACCTGGCACTGTTGTGATGATGGCATGTGTATGATGCCATATTTCTGATGGTCTTGCCCACGTTGATTCAAGTTGTCTTGAACTATTTGTAAGCTTATTTACTTCGAGTTGTTGGGATGAGGTTGGGGGTGAATATTGGGTGGATGAGTAGGAAAAAGTCTTCCAAAATTGCTTTCTGGAAACTTAGATTCTGTTTCATGCATATTTCTGTGATTCAAATGAATGGTAAATTGTAACCTACCTTGAAAGCATAGGTTTCATACAGCTGTTGTAAAGTCCTCCCCAAAGCACTCCTGGTGGCATTTATCAGTAGTTCACTTCTCTTCCAGCTTCTAATTGTGGAGTCTAGGTAAAGGTACTCTAGCCCGGTCTCTCTACTCTCCTTGTCTTGTTTCTTAGGCAGCTTATAGAAAATAAACCTAAAAAAAAAGAGGTAATTATGAATTGCTATCATTTATCAGCTGCTTTCTTGGTAGCTGTCCTTATGTGAAGCGCTGAAGTGTATCTTCCATTTATGTTTGCAGAAGACCTTTAAGGAGGGGGCTTTGCTCAAGAATTCTGCCCTTTTCTATATCATTTTCTTGCTCCTCTTCAAAAAAGGAACTGTGACTCTGACTAGCCATGGTCTAAGATAGTAGCCGGCCTGGTGGTTGAGGTCCCTGAGGTGGAAGCATGCATATACTGCTTCTGCAGTGTTTGTAGCTGCAGTGGGGAGAAGACCAAGACAGAGACCTGGGCTGGAGATTCTCTTCTGCCACAGATGCATAGCAATGACTAACTGGGTAGAGTTAGTCTCTTTGCAATGACTAACTGGGTAGAGATTTGGGTGTGCAAGGTAGGGAGGGTCCCTTGAGCTTCTGACTGGTCTAAGCTGTGTTCCTCAGCTCACTTTTTTAGAATGCATTAAAGTTTTGGACCCAAGACAAACTAATTAAATAGATCCTGTGCTTCTTTTTCTATTGTTACTCCTTTGGGTGTCTCACATGAGGTGACAGATATAGGTGGACCCACTGAGTATTCAGGTGGTATTCGATAATTTATCCCAGAGTTTCTCAATATGTTCCACCCATATTTAGAGACAGGACATTCATTTTTGTGGGGGCTGTTCTGGGCACTGTAGGACCTTCAGCCTTCACCTACTAGATACCAGTAGCACTCTCAAGGTGTTATAACCCACAATGTCTCTATACGTTTTCACAAGTACCCTGAGGGCAAAATTGCCTCCGGTTGACAACTATGTGTCTGCTCAAATATTTTCTAATAGCATCAGCTCCCATAATTAACCCTTAAACATGCACATGGAACCAAATATTGTTAATACTTACACTTTCTCTAATAGCAGTCTTCCCCCAACAACTTCACATCACTCTTGGTTTTCTTCAATCTTACACTTCTATTCAAGTGAACTTTCCCTGCCCTGCTTACATTTCATGACTCACAGGGCCAAGCCCTACTCTGAGGTATAAGCAGGCTTGGTGCTGACTTGGTAGCCTCTGCTTTTTGGCTCTCTTGGGAAACAGTAGCAACTAAATAGCTTGTGTTTCCTGCTGGAGGTTCAGTTGTGGCAAAACTAAACTTTACATATTAATTGCGATTTGGTGGTCCACCAGTATAGAGAAAAGTTATTGGAATGTTAGTAAGTAAATTCCAGTTTCACACTTTCGGTGCAATCCACGGTAAGAATAAAGACACAAAGACACATATGTAATTGTAGGGAGCTAAGGGTGTACCAAGTCCAGTTGAAACAATGGCTAACGAGAGCAAAGGCCATGACCCAGGGCTGAACCAGGTTTTATTAACCATGAGGAGGGAAGTGGGTCAAGGTTGAGTGACTCTGAGAATGGTGGGAAGTATGTGAATAATGTGAACCGGCTAGATAGGAGACATAATAGCACCTCTGCAATATGCAGAGAGAGGTATTCAGAAACAGTATCATATTCTAGTAACAAGTAGCCTATAAGTTTAGGGGAATCAGCATAATGCAGTTTGAGGAAGTATCTTATATTTTTGGTCAGATGCCTTACCTTTGGTGTCTGGCCCTTCTGCCTGGAAATGTCATAGTCTTTCTTGAGATTCAGTTCAGCCAACAGTGCAGCATCTCTTGGCCTAGCTCACTAGCTCACACTCAGTAGTAGGGAGCTATACATAGGTTGGGCATCACTGATCTGTTGCATTGCTTCAAAGGCTACACATTGGCGCCCCTGCAAGACCCATTTACGTTGCTTAAAGCCAAATGAGGGAGTAGAATATTATCATAGCTAGCTCCGTATCTGTTAATACAAGGAATTAATGCAAGGCTTAGCCAAAATGGAGACAAATGGTCTTCTTTCAGGAAGAGTCATCCTAGTGGTCTTCCACATATCAGTGAAACATTTGTGGGCAACTAGGGTGCCATTGCTCATTAGTTAATAACTAGAACTGTTAAATATTTTTCCTTGGTGTGCACCTCCAATTATATGCTATTTCTAGCTCAGATTGCTATGTGGAGATCCAGATAAATAAAAATCTCTCTCAGAAACCTTCAAATCCACAATTTTATAGTATTTTCCTCCACATCTGCTCATCCAATGCTGTTAGAAAACATATTCTTGTAACCACATAAGCCAGAAACCTAGAGGTCTCTGCCTAACATTCCTCCATTCCCAGCAGTCCACCCACCGGTATTCTCAGAGTATTCCTTTCGGTTTCCTTTGCTATCTCATTACTCAGGTCTTTACCTCTTCTCGCCTGCAGTCTGCCTCCACGATTCCAGATGGGGTCTCCTTCAATCCAGCCTTTTCCAGTATAGCTAATGGGTTTCCAAGACACAAATCTGGCATTACCTCAGTCTCAGTTGAGGCCTTTCAATAGCTCCTTTTCAAAGTCAAGTTCAAATCTTTCAGCTCGCCACCTGCCCGCCCCTCACTGCCTTTCTAGCCTCACCTGCTATTTCCCAGAAGAACCTGCAATACCAAAGTACTTGCACGTCCAAACTTTCCATGTTGCTTCTGCCCTCTTTACTTCCTCATGGCTCCTATATTAGCCTGAGAAGTCCTTGCATTTCGTTTTTTTGGCTCTTTCATTATTTTTCTTAAAATTTAGCTCAAAAACTGTTGCTTTAAAGAAGCCCCATTGGCTCCACGCTTCCCAGTGCTCCACTCATAGCCTTATCACATATCTGGGAGCTCCTTGGGGACTGGTTGTGTGTGTGTCTTATTTGGATCCTCAGAACTCAGGACAAGGTCTGCTTGAAGCTATGAAACTGCTGGAAGACTAATCTAGTGAGTTACCTGTATTCTTTAACCTGAAGTTCACACAAAGCTTATAATGGCAAACCTCAACACCCTAATTAAAGAGTAAAAAAAAGAATCAAAAACTTAGGAGAATCTATGAGTATAATGCAACACTGTGTTTAATCTCTTTGATATAAAAGGCCAATGACTTTCTACCCATTCCGACCTCTGCTTGTCTTACCTAACAACCCAAGGTTAACCAAACAGTTGCTGTGTGTGATCACGTCATCTTTGTTCTGATGAAAACGGTGTTCTCCCATTTCAGAAAAAGGTCATTTGACTTCTCCCCCTTGTCAGTCTTTAAAAGGATGTTGAAAGGGTTCTGTTAGGAGAAGCCACACGTAATTGAAAATTGCCAAGAGTCCAAGTGGTGAGCTAAGTCCCATTTCTGTGGCTAACAGCTTTGCCCTGCTGAGGATAGTACCATGACCAAGAGGGGCTGCTCAGTCCACTCTTAAGGGGAAACAATCAGAGGCCTACCCCTGTCTCGGGGTGTAGCCCATTTGTGTGCTTTCAGTTTCTTTTAAAGAGAAGAAGCAAAGCAGAAGCAAAGCAGAAAGTCCTCATGAGGAAACTCGCAGCCAGCCCGTGGGCCTCCCATACTCTGGCTTTCTGTTTGCATATACCAACCCCGACATTTCATTTACCTACCAATCCACGGCTTCACCTTCTTCATTTCTGCATGCTATTGTTGCTGCCTCCAGGACCCCAAAGAGGCCAAAGAAGACCAAAGCATGGGTTGTTCTTTGAAGTCTTGCTGTCATTTTCCATCTGTTTCCTTTATCCCAGGCCCCAGCGGGCAACTTTCCCTGGAGATTTTGTGAAGACTGGGTTTTAAATCTCTCTCTGACTGGTTCTGACATTTGATTCCATTTACCCCTGCTGTTTGCTGTTCGAGAATTTTCAGAATGGGATGAATCCTGAGTAACCATGTGATTCTGTCACAACATCCCAGTGTGACTCTGGACATCTTTGTGCTGTGCTGTTGATGGGTTTTGCAAAGTCACCAAAAGTTCTGGAAAGCAAAAAGAAAAGTGTGTGTGTGTGTGTGTGTGTGTGTGTTTATATCATTAACTCTTTGGAGTGAACATGGTGTGTGATAGTCAGTGGACAGGGGAACTCCATGCCGACAAGTAGATGTTACATTAAATCTATTTCATGTTTTTCCTTTTTGACTGACTCTCTTTAGTGACAGCAAATGTATATGTTTCATACATTAAATAAAAATGGCAGAGACTTTTGCTTTAATAATAACTAGGATCTGTTATTTATAATAATCTCTAACTTAAAGAACAATTGCTACACAGTACTTTAAGGAGTTGCCAGTAAGAGCAAATTTGATTGTATATTACCAAAAATGTTGACATATTTTTTCTATCTTCCTGGTTTGGGCCACTCCATGAAGCATTTTTAAAAGACCTTGGTGTCTGATTGGCTGCTATACAATCAGGTAAACATATTGATCATCTACGCTTCTGGTTAAATAAAAACACTTCATAAGCTTCTGTTTTGCCCAAATTATCCTTGCTCTTTCTTGGAATGGAATCTGAAGCTGAAAGCCAAAGGAAAAAATTCCTTTATAATAACGACTATGAAAAGGTGAGACTCAGTTCTTTTTGGCAAAAGGGAAGAGTAGATAAACATTTGCAAAGAATGTCCTTAAATTGTATGATGCTCTTGAATCAATTATTAAAGATTCTGTCCTAATAAATAATAATTAACTTTATTCTTGGGAATCCTGATGGCTCTAATCTGTCCTTCGGGTTAAGGAGCTAGATCAGGGTCTTATCAGGGATCCATACTAAACCAGATTCTTGCAAATAAGCTCACTTCACAGTCCAGCTAACATTGTTCAGGATTCTTAGCTTGTAGCAAAGGGAGGGATTATGGGTCTATTTCTTCTTAAATACAGTTTTGTGAGAAATACTCCAGACTACCTGCCCACATTACCTGTGATACCTGCAAAAATCTGGCAAAATTTTGGGTCTCATTTCAAACCTGCTAAATTATAATTGTTCTATCTGAGCTTAGGAATCTATATTTTAAATAAACTTATTGGTAGTGGTCAGTGCACCCTAAATATTTAAGCTAGTTGCCCAGAGGCCCAGACTGTGTGGTTTCTGATACCTTCAAAGCTTTCCATAGGGAGCAGACCAAACTAGCAAAACCAGGAAAGGTTTCTCTTACCATTTTTCCATGGGGATCATCTTGCTTTATACAATTTTTTTCTCTATTTGGGAAATGATCTCAGTAACTTTGAACAGTAAGACAAATTTTTGGTTTGAAGTTTATGTGTCTATGTTAAAGTGAGTCACAATTGATTTTATTTATTTATTTATTTTAGCTTGTGAAACTTTTTGGTAGTACCCTGGTAATAATTGAACACAGCAAACACAGAATTCATTGATGAATACAGAGAAAATAAGCAGCCTGCTTCAGTTACAGAGGCTACAGACAGTTTGTTGAATAGGATATAAAATAATTTCTAATTTCTACTCATGTTCACAGCCTCAGCACAGTGCTAGGTAATAGTCGATGATCCTTAAGTGTTGGGACTATCCTTACATTTCTGTAAGGTAAAGAGGGATGCTCTGTATTTGGGTGGTATGTGCTATTAGGTTGCTTTCCTTCAGATTTCATTTTTTAATAAACTTTCCTATCTTCTGTCCCTAATGATCCAATCATACTGGCTGTCAGTCAACAACTTTCCTTATACACAGCCACTATTGTATGGAAAAATACAAGACAATTGAGGTGCTTCAGAGATATCAATGTGACCCTAAAAAATGAGACGCAAGTGTGTTTCTATTTTCACTAAAAATAACAAACTAATACCATGGAAACAACTCACAAATCTGGTAAGGACACTGAAAATGGGACAGAATGGGTTTTCATGATGTTCCTGCTTTTGATACCCTAGAGTAAAAATATGAAAATACTATACCATGGCTCTTTTGGAATTCAATCACTTCTCAAAAGAGTTGAAAGAAACCTTCATTGTAACTTGGCCACCTATGACAAGGAGTTATTCAACTGGGAATAGGCTTGTGATTTTATGGCTAAAGGTTTGCATCCATTCACCCAGAAACGCTGGAAAATTCCAGCCTTGAATGCTTCAAATCATTCCTCTTCCTCATTCTCTTTATCACATCTTTCTGGCATTGTACACCTCTTCCACCTGTTCTAGTTCTTTGCGTGTCTGCATTAATATCTGATTCTTTTCTTGCAACCATCTTCCAGTTTGCTACTTGTTTCTTGGAAAGCATTCATCTGTTATTTCATTTATGTCTTCCACATACTGTAACTAATTCTTTCAAGTTGTGTGGTTAAGCTGTCCTTAACCCATTCATTAGTTCATTTTTTCCCATTCATTAGTTACCTTTTTTTCCCCACAGTTAGTCTTTTTATGGTTTCTTGTTTCTTGTCCATACATTCACTCTTTTCTTTTTGTCAAAATATTAAATATACTATCTTTATATTGTGCATCCAATTCCAATAGCTACGTTCTTTGTGGATTTGATTTTGCTATTATTTCTGCAACTGTCTGGTGATATCTTGCTATTGTATTTTACTTGAGTTTTGTCTGTAAATTCATGTTCCTCAAGGTATTATCTGAAAATCTTTTGAGATTAGTATAAAGCTGGGATTTTGGAGACCCTGGGCCATGCTGGCTTCATCAAATTTCAGTCATCCCTAAAGACTCCTGGGAGGCAGATTGTTGATTTTATTTGTTTGTTTTGGTAGCTTTTTGAAGTACGATTCACATACCATAAATATCCCTGTTTAAATCTAGCTTTTTTTTTGTCAGACATTTACAAGACTGTTGAAGGACTGGCTAAAATCTAGAATGTGACAGATGGAAGGCAAAGGTTGCTGTACTTGTGGGAGGAAAGGGAGAGGATCTGAATTATTTTGATGAAAAAGAGATGAGACAGGTAAATGTAGAAAAAGGAATTGCTCATGGGAAATGCGGTTAATGGAAAACCTGAGTAGAATAGTGAAAAGGGGCTGGAAAATTGTACTTGGTTTATTTCAGTGCATGTTCCAGTCTGTTTTGAGAGTGTCAGTTCCTGCAGAAAGCCATCCTTGCTCTCTCCCAGTCAGCCGCAGGTCACACTGTATCTGTAGGAGCTCAGTTAGATTAACACAATGTGTTAATTGGCTTCCTCTTCTGACTTTTCCTGAGAGTAGTGGTCAGTAAACCAGTAAGCTCTGGTGGGCCAAATCTGGCCTACAGCCTATTTTTATAAATAAAGTTTTATTGGAACGCAGCCATGCCCATTCATTAATATATGATACATAGATGTCTTTTAAGAGATAATGGTAGAGTTGAGTAATTGAAACAAAGACCCTATAGTCTGAAAAGCCTGAAATATTAACTATTTGGTTCTCCATAGATGTTTGTTGTAGGTGTAGTTTCTGTGAGAGCAGAGAAATGTATGCCTGGTTTATTGTTGCTCTCCAGACATAACCACAGCACTTGCTTCCTAGGTGATGGGTTGAGGAAACAGGTTTCAGAGATTTTTCTGCGGGGCGACATGGAATTTTACTGAATTAAATCTAGGCAGAGCTATAAACCAAGGCAGGTGTGAAATAGCAAACCCCACTGTAATGCTTATAAGTCAGGGAAGAGGCTACAGTGAAAAGAACCAGGCCGACCTGGGTTCTGTGCCAGACCCTGCCTCTCACCAGCCACCTGTGTGGCCTTCACAGGACTCTAGCTTCCTTTTCTGAAAAGGCACTCAGCAATCTCTACAAAGAGTGTTCAGGGCTCAGTGAGGTGCTATGTGCACAGCCCTGCATCTAACTGGTGCCATTGGGTGCCGGTTCCTTCCCACCAGTTTCATTTCTTCCATGACAAAGTTATTTCCTGTTCCCTGAAGACAGACTAAAATCAGTCCTTTAGTGACTTGGTTTTAAATGGCCACACACAAGCCCAGATTGCTTGTGATCTCAGTGGTCCTTATCCTGATAAGTCAAGGTTCAACTCAAATGAGTGCCTTGTTGTTAAAGGCATGGAGCTGAAGTTTCTTTTTTTCTTTTCTTTCATTCTTTTTGAGTTAGAAAGGGATAATTTTAAAAATTTAATTACATTGATATACTTTAGATATACATAATGATCATATTCATCAGAGACTATTTGTACCTGTATATAACATACCTTGGTTCTTTTTCCCCCTAATTTCCTCCCTTCTTTCCCTCTTTCCCTCTACAAAAGCTTTGTTTCCATTTTTTTACTTTTTTTTCTTTTCTTTTCCCCCTCTCCTTGCCTCATCCTCCTTCCCATTTGAACATTTTTCTCCCATTTCTCAATATCTATTTTACATTTTGGTCCTTGATTTCCCTTTCAGTTTGTCATACTGGAGAAACAGTACAATATTTAACTATAATGTGAGTCTATATTTCACTTGAGAGTATGGTCTCAAGGAGCATCCATTAACCCAGAAATGTCTCAAGTTTATCATTTTTTATGGCACAGCAGTATTCTATCTTTTTTTTTTTTTAAACTGCATCTTATCTATACACCCATTGATAGACGTTTGGAGTATTTCCAAGATTTAGTTATTACAAACTGTGCTGTTATAAATATGGATGCCTAGATTGCTGGGGTATACTTTTAATTCTTTTGGCAAGATATCAAGATATCAAGTGGGATATTAGTATCTGGTTCAAATGGAACCTCTAATTTTAGTTTTTTGAGGAATCTCCATACTGGTTTCCACAGCGGTTGTACCAGGCTACACTCCCACCAACAGTGGAGAAGGATCCCTTTTCCCCACAGCCCTGCCAGCATTTGTTATGTTAATTTCTGGATAATAGCCATTCTTCCTGGGGTCAGATGGAATTTCAGCATTGTTTTAATTTGCATCTCTCAGATGACCAGTGATATTGAACATTTTTTCATATATTTGTTTGCTGTTTGCCTTCTTCATCTGACAAGTGGCTTTATTTTAGATGCCATTTTACGGATAGGGTCTTTAAATTTGGGGTTCTGATCTTTTTGAGTTCTTTATATATCCTAGATACCAAGATTAACTTTTATCCTACCCCAAAGAGCAATTACCTTTCAATGCTACGCCTACTTCTAGCATAAACAGAATCTATCTGAGCTTGAACTTCTCTATAATTGAAAATGTTCTCAGTCTGGTCGAAGTGTTGGAAAAAGAGCTGTTCCTGTGGGGTACATCTCTCCCCCTTTCACCAGAGCCTTCCCACTCCATCAGTCCACCTGTTCCTGTGTGACTTTGGGCTGTTCACTTAACAGTTCTGTGCTAGTTTATTTTAAATAAGGATTCGTCCCCTCAACTCACAGAGTTGCTGTGAGAAATAAATAAGACAGTATGGAGTTTGTGAGTAGGAAATTACACAGTAAGAATAGTATGTCAGTGGAAGTTTTGGCAGTGTGGCCAATTTCCCACTTCTGCTAGGATTATAACATTTTCTTTCTCTGCCTAATAAGTGCAGCTCTAAAGGGGTTTGTCATGCAGATCCGAAGGGTTGCACCGACTGCCATGTGCTGGGAAAGAGGCATCTGGAGGTAACCGGCAGAGATTTCATTCGGCCTTTATTACCTGGTCACTGTGTCTCCTTAGGAGGTT